CTCAGGCAAAGTTACTGTCCAATATTGCTGGCCCCAAATAATTCCCTGTCATACCCCTACAACTCCTGCCAACCCTCAAGCAAGCCTCCCAGTGAGCCGCACCTGTGGGAGGTGATGATGACGACTTTGCCACTTTCACATGCCTGTGCCACGACGTTCCAGAGCAGGCGCCGGGCGACTGGGTCCATGCCAGTAGATGGCTCATCCAGGAAGATGACTGAGGGCTTTCCCATGATGGCAATAGCAGGTCTCAACTTACGCTTGTTTCCTCCACTTCACAGGCAAGGAAGGAGAGAGAGAATGGAGGAAGCATTTATGGCTGTACATTACAGTAATGTGTTGCATAACACATAATGTATCTATCTAATACGTATTCAATATTTAAAAGAAACCATTTTCCAAGGTTTCTAAAATGCTGTCACAGGAAACAGTTAGTAGAGACATTAAAAATGCTGATTATATGTGACTGTCAAGACACAAGACCCTAATCCAGATGTATAAATCAATCCACTCTCATTTAAGTGTGGAAAGATGACTTTTGTTTACATACTTTATTTTAGTCACATTATCAGTGACATGGGTATTGTTTTTCCTGGGGTTCCTTAGGATTCCCCGATATATTGATTACTTGTTGGCCAGGCCAATAAAAAGAACCTCACATTTGCCCATACCTGGTAGACAAAGATCCATAGAGAGACAGGAAGAGAGATGCTCTCTTTTGTATTTCAATGACTACAGTTCAAATAGAACTAAGATTGTGAGATTTATCACTGCAAAAGGAAGATGTGATACTACCTAGGTCTGCTTTATTGTGGGATCTAAAACCTGGCAGGGCATTAGATTATTTCACAATCATTGCCTGTTTATCAGCAGAGCTCAGGTTAAACTGTGGACATTCATTCCAAAGAACAGAAACACATGGAGATTCCACAATATTAGCTGCAATGAGAGCACCAGTATAATATCTCACCTGTAAGTATAGATAAACTTATCAGCATGGGTTTCCAGATTCAGCAATTTCAACAACTTGTTCACATAAAGGTGAATGGTGGTCTCAGAGATCCCCCACAACCTGGCATACATGTTCAGTATTTCCCGAGCAGTCATGTAATCCAGCAAGGCATCAAACTGTGGACAATAGCCAATTCTTGACCTTACCTAAAATAAGAGAATAGCAATGGATATAAGTCAACTACCCCAGCGAGCATACAGTATGGATGACATATAAGACATAAAGTTCTCCAGCCCATGCCTCTAAGAAGGTTTGAACTCTCACAGAGTTCTTGCAAAGATTTTCTTTTCCTCCGCTGTTACATAATTACTGCAGCTGGAGGCTACTGTCATGTATTGGAACTCCAAGTGTGCATAAGTGATGTGTCCAAGATTGATTTTTATATGAAGTTATCTCCCTATTATAGGGCCATATTCAGTCTGTAGAATAAATGGAAAATAATTTAAAAATTAGAACAGTGCACCTATTTACAGAAGTATATTCACCTGAAGAAGGGAAAGGAGACAGAAAGTAGTTAGTCTACAATTGGCTCAAACTTTACTTATTGTAAGCCTAACAGAAACTCCGAAGACCCTAAAAAGTAAAAGAGATCTAAAATTGGTAGTGCGAGGTCCAGTGTTAATNCTCCGAAGACCCTAAAAAGTAAAAGAGATCTAAAATTGGTAGTGCGAGGTCCAGTGTTAATAACTGGATTCATGAGTTCAGTCCCAAGGGATGCCAGGATATCAAAATCAAAGACTGTTATAGAAGGAGAGGCTGGATGGCAATGTCTAGGTTAGGTTCAGTCACATCCTGCTTCTGGGTAGTTCAATAGATGGATGAGCTATCAGTGAGGTCTCACACCTCTCTATTATGGGAAACACAGCTTTATAAGCATAATGTAAGATACAGGTAAGTACAGTTGGGACCTTAGCTCACAATTTACAAGGCCAGCATTCCCCTGATACCAAAGTCAGACAAGAACACTACAAGAAAAGAAAATTGCAGGCCAATATTCCTAATAAACATAGATGCAAAAATCCTCAACAAAATACTAGCAAACCAAATTCAACAGCACATTAAAAGGTTCATTCACCATGATCAAGTAGGACTTATCCCTGTGATGCAAGGACAGCCCAGCATACACAAATCAAGAAATGCTATACAGCATATTAACAGAATGAAACACAAAAACCATATGATCATTTCAATAAATGCAAAAAAAAGCATGACAAAATTCAACATTTTTTTTTAAGATTAAAAACAATCAACAAATTAGGTGTAGAAGGAATGTACCTCAACACAGTAAAGACC